GATGATGATGATGATGATGATGATGATGATGATGATGATGATGATGATGATGATGATGATGATGAGATGGTGCTGGTGGTCCATACGGCCTCTAAGCCAACGCTCCCTCTTAGCCGTGGAGTCCTGTGAGCAAGAATTCTACGTTGTGAGCTCCTGGCGTCAAAGTTGTGAGCGAGCGATTTGGCTGCTGCATACATTTAGTTTGCTCTGGAGCCACCCTTCTTCCTGAGCGAAGGCCAAAACGTGTGAGCCGGAGGCTAAAAAAAACACCTGTCAGCGAGCTCACACTGACTCAGCTTAGAGGGAACACTGCCCGTGAGCTTCAGAGTCCCGTGAGCAAAAATGCCACTTTTCTGAGCTACCGGCATGAAAGTTGTGAGCAGGCGGTTTGGCTGCTGCGTCAATCAGTTTGCTCTGGAGCCCCATCCCTTCCTGAGCGAAGACAAACATGTGTGAGCTGGAGGCTGAAAAAACGGTGAGCCGGCTCACACGGACTCAGCTTAGAGGGAACACTGCTCTGGCGCTCCATCCCTTCCTGAGCGAAGACAAAAATGTGTGAGCTAGAGGCTAAAAAAACGGTGAGCTAGCTCACACCAACTCAGCTTAGAGGGAACACTGGTGGGGGTGGTAACAATGTGAGAAAAGGAGCCCCCGGGGATGTGTGTTGCAGTCCGGTGAAGTCGCTGGCCTCCCCTGAGAGAGGAGGGCTTCGGGGAAGGAGACCCCCACCGCGCGGCCCCCTCCCCGCGCCCCTTCCCCTCTGCCCGGCTCCCGGTCCAGGGCAAATCCCGCTTTGGCCTCTGCAGCCAAGCAGGGACTCCCGACTGCAGTCTCCGCCGGGCTCCCAGGGAAGCGCCCGCCCACGCCTGGGCGACCTACTTCCATGGAGGAAACGGAGGAGCAGACTGTGCTCCGGGGCCTTACAAGCAGTGCTCCCTCTGAGCTGAGTTAGTGTGAGCCAGCTCACAGGTTTTAAGCCTACAGCTCACCCATTTTTGTCTCGGCTCAGGGAGGAGGGCTCCAGAGCAAACGAATGTATGCAGGAGCCAAATCTCTGGCTCAGAACTTTAAAGCCAGCAGCTCACAAAGTAGAATTTTTGCTCACAAGACTCCGCAGCTTAGAGGGAGCATTAAAGTTCCGAGCTGTCTTTTCTCAAAGGGTGTGTGTAGGGAGGGAAGAACCCGAAGGATCGGTGGACCTCCAAAGATACCCCCCCCCTTCCCTCCCCCAGCGCCACGAAAGGGAACCGGCCATTCGCTTACAGCCGGTGTGGCCTGTGTTTCCTCTGAGCTGAGTGAATGTGCGCTAGCTCACATTTGTTTAGCCTCCGGCTAAGGCCAAAGAAGACGGGGACGGCAGAGGATGAGATGGTCAGACAGTGTCATCGATGCAACGAACATGAAGTTGAGCCAACTTCAGAGGATGGCGGAACAACGGGAGGAGGCCTGGCGAGATCTGGTCCACGGGGTCGCGGAGAGTCGGACTCGACTGTGCGACTGAAGAAGAACAACCACACACATTTCTGCCTTGGCTCAGGAAGGGCGGCTCCAGAGAAAGCTGGCTTATGCAGCAGCCAGATCGCTGGCTCCCAGCTTTCATGCCCCGTAGCTCACGAGGTAGAATTTTTTGCTCACCGGACTCCACGGCTTAGAGGGAGCACCGGGTGTGGCCCCGACACGGTTTCCTTCCCACCTTTATTTCCTCTCTAAAGTAATTTATTGGGGTTGGGGAGGAGCTGAAAATAGGAACGGGAGGGAGGCAGAGCCGTGGCGGTCTTGAGCCCGGGGCTGGTTGTACCCGGGAGAAGCGAAGGGATTTGGCCCTGCTGACTGTGCACAGAGAGAGGAGGAGGAGGAGGAGGAGGAGGAGGAAGGCCCCCGCTCTGGAAGAGAAGGCCGAAGGACTCGGGCTTCTGATAGGAATTGTGGGCGGTCGTTCCTCAGCAGCATTCGGCTAAACCACGCCAAAGTCTGAACTTCGGTGGTGGGTCAACTCCGTTGCCACCGACTCGGAATCCCCCGTGGCTTCCAAAGAGGCTGGCTTTAGCTGGATCGGGGGCCCCTGTGGGGTCCAGCCATCGTTTGTTTCCTAGCGGCCCAGCTGAAACCGCCGCGGGCGCCCTGGAGCCAGCGGCGGTGAAAGAGGCCAAGAGACGTGATTTCTCGGGAGGCCTCGCTTTAGACGGCTCTCCACCCTCCCAACTGCCTGAGGGGTCTCCTAGTCGGCCCTCTCCTAAACCTGAGCCTTTCCTGCCCTGACTGTGACATCTGTGCCGTGTTCCCAAGTGCGTATATATACTCCGTGTCAGGTTTCCTTCGGCTCCCGTTTTAGATTCCTGCCCTCCTGCATTCTTTATCGGACGTCCCACCCTGTGGATTGCGTCGGATTGAGGTTGCGTCATCCGCCTGGAGACGCAGCGAGAAAGGCGGACTATAGATAATGTATATTACATTCTATTGAATGAAATAAAGCGTTCTGATGGGCACGCGCCTTGGTTTCTCTTCCCCGGGGCCTGGGGAGAAATGCGGCGGAGGCGGGAGGGGGATCGCTCCTGATTTTGCAGCCGGCAAAACGACGGAGCCGCCGGTCAGTTCAGCTCTGTCTGAGGAGGGCTGTGCCCGGGGGGGGACCTCGGAGGAGACCTTCGAGGATTTACGGCGCTGGCGGGCCGGAGGTTTTGGTGGGATCTGGAAAGCGAGGAAAGGAGCCCCGGCGGAGCATGTGCGAAACCGCCTCTGAAGTCTGGGTCTCCAAGGTAGAGTTCAGC